GAGGGCCTCTGTGACCCTGTCGGCCGCCTGGCTCTTGGATTGCAGCTTTGAGACCATGTCTCTGCCTGCAATGGCATCTTCCAATACCTCTGCCGATCCAATCTTTTCCGGGTTCTCAATCGAGTAAAAGACGAGGGAGAGGATGGCAAAGAATTCGGTAAACAGCATAAACCAGTACGGACCGGCCAGCACGTTTTGCTTGCGGATCTCAATGCCAATGTGCACAATGTTGCGCGACACGCTGATGCAGGCTGCGGCGCAGGCGTACGAGAGCTCGTCAATGTTCTTGCCCATACTGAGGCGAGGGGAGACGTAGTGCAGAAACGGGCGGTAGAGGACCAGTTGGACGTGTGCGTAGGCAAACCGCAGCAAATGGCGCACCCTAGACATATGTTAGCCTGGATCAACTATAATGTGGTGTCAAGAAACGCACCGAATAACCTCCACGGGGCCGTCTGGTCTCGGCCTCCACTGCGCAGGCAGGACCTCGTACCACTCTTGCAACTCGGCCTCGATCCTCTTAATGTTGGCGTAGCTGATGAGGTACGTCGCTCCCGGCTTGTCGCCCTTCATTACACTCTGGCCGAGCCCCTTCAAGGGGTAGACAAACTTGAGGATCTTGGCCAAGATTTCCATCAGGCGGGTGTGGGCGTTGAAAGCCTCAAAAAAGGAGAAGGTGCCCGGCGGTGGCGTCAGGATGCCGTCGTTTGTTATGTACTCGTCGTCAATCTCGCTGGGGTACGGCTGGTCAATGTCGTCGGCGTTGAGCATCAGCGGGAACCCGAGCATGGCCGAGACGTAGATATCCATTTGCCGAATAACCCAGAATACTCGCTTCCGCACCTCCTGCTCAATGATGGAAATCTTCTCGTGCTTCAAGTACCTGTGCAGACCTATGCGCAGGGCCGACCGAAGGGCGATTCCAACAAACGCGTAGCAGCCGCTCAGGTTCGAGGTGGCTTGCAGAAAAAGAATCATAAAGAGCAGGGCTTGCAGCGAGGTCAGGTCTCGGCACTCTGTAATGTCCTGCAAGATGCGCCTCGCGGTATCGTAATACTTCATTCTGCGGCATGTTAGTACGGTCCGGGACAGGCTTCCGGGGTTCATACCCTTCGTCGACGGACTCCTTGTAGGCCACGGGGGGCGCATTCTCGTCCAGGTTTCTGTACATGCAGCCCAAGGCCATGACGGCGTAAAGGAGGCCCAGGAACTTGTGTTCTTCCTTGGTGTAGTCGTCGTATGGCTTCTCGTAGATTCGGTCAAACATTTGGTAAAAGGTCGGTACGTGGACGATGCGGATCAGACACGTCGCGCAGTTGAGCGACAGGTAGCAGAGGCTCTTGGCCACGTCTTTCGGGGGGAGCTCCGGAGCGGTGGACATTGTCGAGTCGAACGGGGAGCTGGCTGCGGATGCTGGCGAGTCCAGGTTGATGAGGCCGGCGGGTCTGTCTGGCCGTGGGAGGAAGGGCACCTTTGTGACGGGGCCCATCATGCCTCGAAAGTGCTCCTTCATGCGTCGCAAGAAGACGGCACCGGACGAGACGCCGTGAAAGTCCCAGCCGCCCTTGTCGTCGAGGTCCAGCTGGCCAATGGACTCGATCATGGACAGAAGCTGGGGATCCTCCTTCTCGGGAGCTACAAAGGGGTCGTGCCTGAGCTTGGCACTCTGGATCCTGCTGTGCTCTCTGTTGCGGAACTCTTGCTGGACGGCCGGATCCAGCGTCGGATCAGCCAAGTCGACGTCTGGAATAAACTTGCGCAAAAGAGTCTCTGCGCGCTGCAGGCGGCTCTCCAACGCCTCAATGTACTGGGGCGCAGGGTTCCTCCGCCGATTGGAGGGCTTGTCATAAGTGCATTCTGCGGAAATCAGTCTTTTGCACCGAGACAACAGCATCGAGGAAGGAGGCTCACCGTAGCTATAGACTGAGCAATGGGTGCAAGGCTGCTTGCCATCGCACTTGATTTTCTTGCGCCTGCACTCGTCGCAGGCTCTGGTGACACGGCGACGCTTCTGCACAGGGGCGTTGGATCCAGCTTCGCCGGGCTTTTCGTCCATGTCTGAGCCAGAATGGGCACTTCCACTTGGAGAAGGCGGCTCCTTGACTGGCCAGCCATTGGCAGAAGGGGCTGCGGACTCGTTGTCTGACATGTTGCCAGAAGCGTGGGAGTCTGGAGGTGAGTTGTTGCTGTTGTTTTTGGTTGCGGCCTTGGCAGGCTGAGATGGAGGGCTCATTTTGGCAGTCGACAAAACAGGTCGCCCGTTGGAGCTGTCCTGGGGTAAGCTTCAGGAAGCTGACAATAGTTGCTGTAAGGTAGATGTTGGTGTTGGTTGTGGTGGTGGTGGTGGTGAGCACCCGGTTCTCGGTGTAAGTGCAGTTATGGAGGACGAGCTCTTTGCATATTTGATAGTACAAGGGTCGTGGTCCGATAAGCCAACCCAATCGCTAGGAACGGCTTTCGGACTGATCAAGTCTTGAACATGAGAAGAACGAAACGTGTGCCAAGACTTCGCGGGGGATGGAAGGAAGATAAGTTTAAACAAAAACGGGAAGACCAGAGAGGAGCCGGGGGATCTTTTGCCTCTTTGCTGGGCTCGTCTGGGCAGGCCGCAGCTGGGGGGGTGGAAGGGCCCTTGTTTAAGGCCGAGCAGGGTGCGGTACGAAGCAGCGGTGCAGCAGCGGTGCAGGGCCGCAGACAGAGAAAGAGGAAGAAGGTGTGTGAGAGGCCAGGGCAGGTGTGTAAGTCGCGCGGAAAGCTGAGCGCGAGGAATAGGATGGATTACGTAGCGGGTAGGTAGCGTCTCGGCCGGGGTTGGTTGAGACAGCAGAGTACACGACTCGAGGGTATGGAGAATATGGTCCCGCACGGTGTAAGGTAGTCCCGCAGTCCCAAGTCCCAGTAGCGCGGTCGAAAGATACGTATTCCACACACGGGGCAGGACGCAGGACGTGGGCCACGATCTGGCGGGCAGGCGGGTAGGCCCCTGGTTGTGACGATGGTGGTGGATGGGTGGTGGATGGGTGGTGGATGGTGGATGGTTGATGGTGCTTCTTCTTCTTCTTCTTCATGGTAGAGGAGGGGGTGTCTCTAGGTCACCCAAGTGAAGTCGCGGATAGGGTCAACAAGAGAGGGAACGGAGACAATACGAAACCGTCGCAAAGGGGGATGGGGAAGCTAAGACGAAAAGGCGATAGGAATCGGTACGAGGATGAGGTGGTGGTGGTGGAGGCCGAGGGGGGAAGAGGAGGGGGAAAGGAAGACTCAAGAGAGAGGCATGTACACTATCCGTGGGAAGTACTCCGTACATGGACGATGAACAGGGGCGATCATAAGGCAAACCAAGTAGGCAGGCCAATAAGCCAAGATGGATTAAGGTAAGGCGAGCAGAACAACAAGAGAGAGAGAGCGAGAGAGCAGCACAACTGCAGCAGCAGCAGCAACAACACAAAGTTCGCAACAGCATGGCTTGGGATGGCTTGGTACCCTTGGGGGGGTGGGCGGAAGCATCAGAGGGACAAGACTTGGAGAGACTGAGAACTGCACCAAGAAAGGGCCCGCCGACGGGGGACCGGGAGGGGGGGGGCGTATTGGCAGGGGAGATGGATCATGGGAGGTACAGTATGATGGCAGAAGATGGACGGCAGTCATTCTTGGGTCTACCATCTGTGACAGGCAGTGAGAGTTGCTGTAATGGGTAGAGCAACTCCGCGGAAGGTGCCTTCTACTGAATGGAATCCATTGCCTATCTACCCACCTTAGTACGCAATTAGGATATGAGTAGTTGACTACGGATACCTTGGACGACAGAGCGTGTAAGAGGTGCTGTGGTTGCTCTTCGTCCGCATGTACCTTTCCGCTGGGAGGAGTGGGAGGAACGAGGATGCTGCAGCAAATGTGCGGAAAGCCAAGACGAAACAAAAACGGACGAAGAAGAGCTCAGGGTTGTGAGATTGGCGGCTGCCTTGCCTGCATGCGACAGCGACAGCGACATTTTGACTTTGGCCTCTTCAGGAGGGCATCCTGTCCTGATAGGTAGCACTTGCTCATTCAACGGGCAGTCGAGGCAGTGAAAATCAATGGTCTGAACAACTGGGCAGTAACTAACTCCCAGTCTCGATTCTCGGCTCTCGCTTCTGTCGGGATTGGTGGTGACTTGAGCGCCGCGTTCCAAGGGCCACGCTTGTTCCCGTGTTAAAAGCGCCCGTTCTAGTGGACAGCCCAATGACGAGATCCGAGTTCGCTGGGGCTTCTATCTTAAGCAACTCAGGCTAGGCAATCTTGAGTTAAAAGACGCCGGGCCACTAGTATGTGGTATCCGGTGCGTGCCATCTGTAATCAGAATGGGAAGGGTTCTTTTGCAAGAGACTCCGAACGGGACTAGGTGCTGGGCTTCTGATTGTGTTGTGAATAGAGGGTTGCGGTGGGCAAAGCATGTCATTGATGATGGCGACATATCTCTGAGGATATTCTATGGTCTGTACGGATACCGCGCGCGAAGACCACTATGTGAGCACCGAGCACGCGCAACTGTCTCCAGTCGGCGAGTAATCAGAATATGTGCGGTAGATAGGAACAGAGTGATAGTACTGCGTGTACGGGGCGAGCGAGCGAGTCGAGTCCCTACCCGGCCCCGGTTGATTTGCTCAAAAAAGGAATTGAAAAGGGAAAAGGGCGGAGTTCCTTCGGGAAAGGAATGCAGCCCAGTTTTTTGCTCAAATGGAGATGCGTCTGGAACCGATGAGAGGGACGTGAGAATGGGCCAGTTTCCACTTGGTCGAACCGATGGTGCTACTGCATAGAATCTATATGTCAGTCAGTTGCAACTCGCAAGGCCATGCATGCTTTGCGTAGTTGGTGTTGGAATCTTGGTATTTTGAAGAGGGGGGATGGAATACTTTGCAGAGAGAGAAGGTAAAAAAAAAAAAAAAAAAAAAAAAACCTATGCGGCGCCAGCGGCGTTCGTGCATGCGTTTGGATGCAGGGTGGAACCGGGGGTACGTATGCCTTTTTACCCTTTGTGTATTTTCGTTGTCTTCAAAATCTTGCCCAAGACCAACCGTTGGCTTGAATTTCCGTGCCATTCGGTCCCGTACCGCAATTGCAGACCGCCACGGAATGAATCATCCCGCCCGGCCTCGTCCGGTAGATCCATCGCTTCCAGCCTCCAAGTCTGACGGTCCACCACCTGCCGCCGGTACGTGGCCGTCGTGCCCGTTGTGACCCGACAGCGTAGGCCAAGTCTTCGTAGCTGCTTGAAGACGTGGAGGTTTCAATAGACAAGGGCGCTTTGTCTTGCCTTGCCAGTCAATACTCGGTAGACCACTTCAATTGCCTGTCTTCTTTCCCTCCCCTCCCACGAGGGTCAGTAGCTGGAACGGGGGTGAAATTAAAGTCAGGCTCTCATCTCAGTCAACGCTGACTTATTGAACTCACACGCCAGGCCCGGGTTCTCAGTTGACGGAACACGCGGGATGCTATTGGTTCGGAGGCGCTTCCCAGGAGACCCCAGTTTGAGCTTCGACGGGGAGGACCCCCCTTATGCACTGCGGACATAGCTGCATCTAGTCCAGTCCAATGATCAATCCAGCGCGCAAAGGGAAGGGAAAAAAGAAGCTTGAGAGCCCGAGTTGTCAACAACCGCCAACCCCTACACCTGGGAGTTTGTCAGTGCTAAGGCTCATCGAAACAGTCGGTCCCGCGAGTTGGCGGAGGACGCTTCCAAGCAGGCGCTGGCACGCAGGTTCGGTTTCCAACATGTCGGGGCAAAGCCTGCTGGCTCAAACCGTCCGTGGATCTGCTAACGAGCCCGCCGCCCCGTCACCCGCGAGCCTTTCAGCCTTTAGTCCATCCCATACCATCGCATGAGAATGGCGGCGGTAGGTATGGTTACGGAGCTCAGTCATTTTGGGCAAGTGGTCCAGTCATGTCCTCTGATGGTTCGACGACAGTATCAATCTGCGATTGCCTTTTCATCTGCGACTAGTGCCCCTCCCTCGGTCCCCACTCGTAACCCGAACAGCACGCCGCAATCTTCCCGAGGTCGGGATCGAGGGTCCAATGCCTCGTTTGTGTCTGCATCGCGGTGGTGGAGAGATCAGAGCGATTCCGCGATATGGGTGTGTGTGTGTGTACGACACAACGTAGGCCACCGCCGTCGAGGCGTGTAATGTGCAAGCGAAGCAGGGGGCGGCAGAAAGAAAGCGAGGACGTTGCTGGGACTCTTGAGCGTTGGAGGGGCTTGCCAAGGGCCAAGAGGAGACGACGACGACAACAACAACGATGGCGGCGAAGGCGAGTAAACGGTCTTGACCGACGGCTCTTTGGACGAGTGTCATGAAGCAACTGGTCTGGTTTGTGTTTGTGTGGGCACATGGCTCACGCCCCTCTTGGAACACCGAGGGTTTATCGCCAGCGATTTTTGGGGGTTGATTCCCCTCCCCCCTCCCCTCGCTCTCCCTGGCGCCCCCGGAGACTCTTGGCTTTTCTTGCGGGAGCTCCGTACTTTGCACGCCTTGTATGTACTTGGTGGCATCGCGAGATTCATTCCAGCTTGAGGCCCCCCCCTCCTCTCCCCATAAGGCCGAAGTGACTGCAGACCGGTGGGATGGAAAACGCATGGAATATTCGAAAAGGGCTTCGTTTGTGGATTGCCGTCACATGGCGGACGGGACGTCGTCGAAATGGACCGCCCTACAGAGGAACAGGGCCCAGGGCTGAGGGAACGATGAGGTTCTGAAGTCTTGGCATCCGTCATTGGGGACGTGTCTGTGGTGTATTTTGACGACAAATTTTCTCTTTTGGCGGGTTAGGTGCTCTCAGATTGGCGTGGACTTTGGTCCATGGTGGGAGACCAGCAGAGTCCCTGGGGTGTGCTTGGACTGGGGGTGGGTGGTGAATGGTGAGTGGTGTGGAGGAGAGAGAGGAACCACCTCACGGTTCCACACCTCGACACCGCTGGGCTGACCGGGCTGGAAGGGAGGTGGTCCGCGGGTGAGGTAGGTACGGGCGTGGAAGGTGCTCAGTGTGCCCAGCTCGAAGACTGAAAAAAAAAAAAAAGACAAAAAAAAAAGGTCGCCCACTCCCACTCCCACCAAAACGCGTCAGCCCAAGAGCGGGGGGCAGTAGGTACGGAGTACAGACGGTACAGACGGCGCATGGAAGGGGCGGCACATCAGGGAATCGGGACAGCAGGCAAGAGCTTCCTGGGTCTCAAAAGTCTTGGCACGCTCGATTTCCTTCGTTTGCCAAGACTTCCACCCCGCCCCTTCGCGCTTGCGCTTGTCTTGACAACATGCATCGAATATCAGAGAGCCTCTTATGGATATCAAACAGATCTAGATACTGCCAATTGCCAGCGTTTTTCTCGCGGTTTTTTTGCTTGCAAAACTGGCCCAGGACGCCCTCGGTCGGTCGCCGACTCACCACAAGCAGACACCGCAGTCACTTGGTTGGGTCCCCCCCCTTTTTTTTTTCCTCTCTCGCTCTCTCTTTTGCAATCCAATGGAACTTACAAACACACGCCCCCAGGAGTGAACGGATTGGCACTGGCCTGACAAAAATCAAGGAAACGGGCCACGTTACCTTAGGTTTCTTTCCCCTCGCGCGCGCGCCCTCTTGCGGTTCGCCCGTCCTCGTTATTTCCGCAAGATTTCGTGCAAGAAAGAGAGAGAGAGGAAAGACCATTCAATGCATGTGCTGGCCACTAGGAGACAAGAAGTCGAGATTAATATGGGGCGCACTGTACAGACAAGTCACAGTGCGAGCGAGGAACTAGAGGGAAGGCACACCCACACACAACACCTTCCTACCTTACCTCGCCTCAGTCAATAACACACCCCCGGCCACTTCCCAGGACGAGACAAGACGGGGAAGAAGGTGGCAGCCGGTGCAAACCACCTCACCTACACTTTCCCAGTCGGGTGTCGCCAAAAGTCGCCAAGGTACGTATCTTCACCTGCACTTCACCTCACCTTACCTCACCTCATCTCATCCCACATGGTAATAAGGTACGAATACCTTACGGATAGAATGGTGGGAAACTTACCTACTAAGTGCCAACAGACATAGACACAGACTTAGGTAGACACAGACCATGGGCAGCCGCCCCGTCCTCGTCCCAATGTATGGCTAGCACCAATGTGCCAGAGAAAGCCACTCATATTTGGGGTCCGACCCGTCTGCTTCATTGTCACCAGCTCATATCCTTTACCTGTCTCGTGTCTGATGTATCGGAATCGTCATCTCAGTCAGTCCAGGCTAAAAGCTATCGAGACTTTGTACGGATAGGTACACACATCAGAGTACCTGCGCAGGGGCCACCCGACCCGACCGCAACGCTGCGAATACCTATCTACATCTTCTCGGTGCTCACGAGTTACAACTCGGCCCACCAAAGAGTGACGCGATAATAGCAACAGCGCCCACTTCTTGGGAGCCAGGCGACCGGCTTGCGGCTTGCAAGCTGCACAGTCATGGAGTGTCTCGAGCAGGCGTTCCTGGCACAGACGCGGGCAATCCAACGTCCACCAAATCGTCCAATGTCGCTGGGCCTCGTTATGGATACCCTCATGACTCTCGACTCACATGGCACTTTTGCTCTGACACTTTCAACCTAACCTTTTCTCTCTCTCTCTTTCTTCTGCTCGCTATTCTTCGCAATCGTCCCGCCATGGTATCCGTCGAGCTCATAATCCATAACCTGACAGGCCCAGGGCCGAGCGCTCAAGGACGCGATTCCACACTCAATCCTATTCCTCCAGGACCCTGACCTTGCTCCGGCCCTACTAATCCCAGCTTGAACCTTGGGCCCGAACCTGGCCATTGCACCCCATCTTTTATTCCCTCTCAGTTATACGGTAGAAACAGAGAGTCCAGAATTGCCCCGACGGCATAGCCTTTGGACGCCAGACATTTTTGTCAAATCAGGGCTGTCGCCTATACAATCATACACTGGAGACTCGAGCTGAATCTGAGACTGCCATGCAGGGATCATTTGCAATTTGAGGCCCGTCAACGCAGGCCAGTCAAGATCAAGCCCATCTCTTGAGCGGAAACCAAGCTTGGATGACTCGAGGTCAACGGCATCGATTTCGAGCACCAGCGACTACAGAACCTGTCCACGTAAGATGGGCTGGCCAAGGAGCCACGGATCGTGTAAAACCACAGCCTGCAGCGCATCGCCTACAGCAAGCCCGCCGCAAGCACAACACACCTCAACGTCCCAAGTTTCCCGTCCCCTCTAGGAACAGACCCTCGGCCAACTACCGACCCCTGTATCTGGCACTGTGGGTACGTACCGGTGTTGGCCTTACCGAGCACACCTCCCACCTTAGCTCGCGGCTCAGGTGTGATGTGGTAGGTAGCTATCCTCCTATGGTATGCGGCGTATGCCTTGCTTGCAGCCCGTCTGCAGGCTGCTGAGCGGTTTCGATTTGGGTTCTGCTCCGAGTCCCGGCCACGATGCTGGCGGCCTGTCCCTGGCCCTTGCTGATGTAGGAATCCCGAACAAGCTGGTCCAATCCCAATGCTGCGCTGCTGGCACATCAGCATATGCTCTCCATCAATCAACCCTTTTCAAGCTCGGTCATCAAACGAATCAGTGCACCAGCGGGCCCAGGGGGGCGAACGGAGCGCAGGGTGCGGGTGCCGCTTCTATGAGCAAATTGGTACGGATACGGCATACATATGAAGATGAGAGACAGACTACCCTTAGCTTTCCCCATGTGGACTGTCTAGATAACGAGATGCTTGGTTAGAGTGAGAGGCTAAAGGTGTCTATTCTCGGTGGACTCGAAAGCAAATCTCACAGCTATCTGCAATCTGCTTCTTGGCCCTGTCACAATCACTTACTTCTCTTCATTCGCAAAGGAATAGAGAACACAGTCCCTGATCAATTTGATGGACCACCCATACTCCGTACTTGGTACAGATACATATGTACGGAGTACGGATACCTTGGATAGAGCTCCATTTACGGACAGTTTATCGCCAAGACTTTGTCCCTTAATCCCAGTGATCGACCGACTGCCGTATCTGGCTGGCATCTACCAATCATCTGCGCACCAGGTCGGCACGATCGCCATTGTCATTTTTGGGGAATATTCTAATTTTGTTACTTTTGTCGCTGCTGCCTGCTCCTTTACATTGCATCCGGAACACACTTGAATGGGGCACTTCGACACGAGCTATTTGACCAAACTGCACTTGCACCGGCCCTGGAGCTGGGGTACCGTACCACAGTAGGTAGTGAGCAGTCGCTACCTTACCTCAAGGTACCTAACCTCTTTACTCGATTACCCCGCAAAAAACAACCAGGTCACCACCATACTACGTACCGTTTCTCCAGTTCGAAGTTCATTTGCTAAGGTACTCCGTACCTTACTCCGTACCGTTGACGTCCTGCTGTTTGTCAGAGAGCTCACCGTTGCTCTCCCTCCTCCATACACCCACAGCCTTGCTCACCACCACACACACTCTCTCTCTCAGAGTAGCCCGCACACGCAGATACGCCTAGTGCGACAGACACAATACGACTGGGCTTTTTAAATCCCTCTCATCTCTGCAGAGTGCAGAGCGCAGCTGCCAGGCCAGGGCCTCCGAGTCACACACTGCCCCAACGTACAGAAAGCGGCAAGTTCCAGGAGCCGGTGAGTGTTCCACGAGTCCTTTCACTTTCCACGAGCTTCCCTTCCCGCCTGGTACCTTGCAACATGCACCGGCCCCTCTCCCCCAAATGTCACTGGGCCCCCGTCCGTCCAACGAACCGCCCAACGACTCCAAAGCACAGAGTCCAAAGTCCAAACACCTCGACCCTGCCCTGACCTGCTCGGCCAGACCAGACCAGAAAGCCCCTCATTCCCGATAATCCACGCATTCCACCATTCACCTTTTAGGCCAACTTTAACCCGCCATCGGTGACATCGGCCACCGCACCTCGCTCTCACCCGCCCGGCACACATCCCCGTACGCCGTGTCGCCTAACACCTTACATTCTTCAATTCACTCACTGCTGGCCCCTGCTGACTTATTTCGAGATCCGCCAAAATCTCGCACGGCTCCATCAACTCGAGTCGCCTGATACGATATCGCAATCTCCAGAATGGCTGCCGCTAGCGCAAACGCCAGCCTCGACTCCAACGCCCTGCTCGCCTTCTTCACCCAGATGGACGATCAGGGAGGTGTCATTGTCAGAGGTGCGTCTCCGTCATCCAAGCTGAGCCTCCTCACCTCCCTCACCTCGCTGTCTCTCCCTACACCGAAACGGACCTATCCGATCTGTCTCAAATAGGAAGTCAGTGCCAAGACGCGCGTCCTTGCTAACGGCCGCTGTCACTCTCCAGATACCCCAAAACTAGATCTAGATCTGTACATCCAGAACTACACAGGTACGATGTTTCCTACCACAGCCCGTCTCAACCTTGTTTCTCGTAGACTGCGCCCTGCTGCCGTTGCCGCAGTGCCACTGCCCGCACACACGCTCAGCCTCCCCGCGTCTCCGCCCCCTTTTGCCCGCGTGCCAAGGCTCCGCCGCCTTCAGGGGGGAACTGCTTCTCACCACTGCCACAGGCCGTACCCGCTTTGAACGTCTTTTCCTCATCGGCCGGACATGCGTGCCGCTCTGTGTCGACGCTCTCAAGGCTGCCGTCGCAGAGGCCAAAAAGGGTCAAGATACGCAGCGTTACCGCGATGTCGTTGAGTTGATTCAGGTCGCCGCTCCTCTGGAGCCTGAAGCCACATTCGATCAGTCGTGGGTCGAGCTCACGGACAGGGCCAATAATGCCAAAACTCACGCCCTCGAGGGCGAGTTGAAGGGTTACAAGATGAACCTGATCAAGGAGAGCATTCGGGTATGTAGAGACATTGCCATGCACAAATGCTCCAGGGCTAACTGATGCCAGATGGGAAACGAGGACCTGGGTCGTCACTTTGAAAGCATCGGCGACCTTAATAGCGCTGGCGAGGCTTACAGCCGGATGCGCCCAGACGTGAGCACATCCAAGCACATCATCGACGTTGGCAAGCACCTCGTCAATGTGACGCTGCAGCGTCGGGAATGGCCCATGGTCATTGCCAACCTGAGCAAGATCACGGGTGTCCAGAACGGCGACGAAGAAAAGGGTTTGCAACCCTACGTCAAGATCGTCCAGGGCATCGCCCTCATGGGGCTCGAGAAGTTTGACGAGGCGGCCAAAAGCTTCCTGCAGACGGATGCCGGCAAAGAGGGAGTGGACTACAGCAATATCGCGAGCCCCAACGATGTGGCAGTGTACGGTGGCCTCCTAGCTCTGGCAACCATGGACCGGAAAGAGCTCCAGGCTCGTGTTCTCGACAACCAAAACTTTAGAACGTTTTTGGAACTGGAACCTCACATCCGCAAGGCCATTTCGCTTTTTGTGAATGGCCGGTACTCGGCTTGCCTGGCCATCCTAGAGGCGTATCGCGCAGACTACCTCCTCGACATTTACCTCCAGAAGCACGTCCCGACGCTCTACTCGCAGATCCGGAGCAAGTGTATCGTGCAGTACTTTATCCCCTTCTCCTGCGTCACCTTGAGCAGCCTCGAGGATGCATTTGCCGTACCCGGCAAGCCGCTCATTGACGAGCTCGTCGCCATGATCCGGGGCGGGGTTTTGCAGGCCCGCATCAACACAATTGACAAGGTGAGTTTCCGCGGCCCCCGAAAGTGTGAAGTCGCACCGTGTGCTAACGCACGAGCCACAAGACGTTGGTCGCCGTGTCTCCGAACCCCCGAGCCATGCTGCAAAGGATGGTCCTCGACACGATCGATGCCTACGAGCGGGACGCTACGGAGCGGATCCGGCGTATGAGTATCATTGCGGCAGATATGGAGGTCAAGACCATGCGCAAGGGTAATGCCCATGCCGGTGCGCAGGGCATCGATGAGCTCTGGTTCGAGCAGTCCAACCGACCGACGGTGGCCGGCGGCGCGGGCGGCGACAACATGAGCTGATGGCCCTCCGATGCGGCGGCGACGGGCCGCGCGGTGACGGTGATACCGGCCGAGTGGTTGTGCTTGTCCGTGGGTCGGACGCGAGAGCTGCAGCACGCCGCGAGCATGCAACTGGAATGCTGACAACCGGGGCACTTTTGGTGATCCACCTTGGCGCCGTAGTCGCAAAAGCCTAAAATATTCGGGTGGTAGACTGCCAATGCAGAGGTGCAGACTGGGCGGTCTCGCGACAGGTCATTGGCTATCTCGAAAGAAAAGCATACGTACGCCTGCCAACACGTCTCTTGTGCCGTGGGATCATTCAGACGTCATGGCACTTTTGTGCTAGGCATGTCATTAGCCACTGGGATCGGGCATGGAGCTTCACGCAGCGGCTGGGACGGTGGAGCGGCTAAAGCAACAGGCGGCGGTGTTGATCGCGGGATCCCCGGGGCCGATAGATTGAGGCTTACGCAGCAGGCATAGAAATGTGTCAAGAGAATATGGTTTTCCGTCGATTGAAGCGTCTTGTCTTGTCATGCTTGGGAATGGTCGGGAATAATGCACCCTGTCTCTTGTCTGTATCGTTTATGCAAGCCACCTGATTGCACTTCGCCCGAACTGTGCCCTACGGCTAGTTGTTCTCATCGGGCCTAACGCAGAAAGTTAAGCTTACCCTGCCGACGGATTTATGAACGATACCCGACCCTTTATATCGCCTCGGGGTCTTGGCAAAGTTGTTTCTCTGCACAGTGCCAGTTCGGTTCATCGCCTAGCTAGGTGGTCACTCACTTTCCCCTCTCGTCAAAGGATAATAGAGTACGAATACAGATACAGACTAGCAGAAGCCTTTTTTGCGGTGTTTTTAAAAAAAAGAATCTGCAATGATCGATCACCTGGGCTCCAATCTTGTGGGCTTTTTAACTTTTCCCCCGTTCGCTAGAAATAACTCTCCTTTCGTCTACGGTACATATCCTCAGGGCAAAAGTAAGTAGGTAGTGCGTCCACCCAAATGATCACCCGAGAAAGAAAGGATACCGCAAATAAGAGCCGGTGAGTCTACAAAATGGGGCTCCAGCCGAGGAAGAGAGAAGGGGGGGGGGGGGGGGCAAGACCCAAGGGTCAAGCGTGACAGGGTTAGATGGGGTGGAGGGGCCCGCACGGCGCTTCTCTCTCACGCAAAAGACCAGCATTTCATCAGACAGGGTTTCCTTTTGGAGACCTTGCTCCAAATCCCTGGAGGGTGGAGAGGGGGGGAGGGGAGGGTGTGTGATCAAAAAACTCATGGTTCAACTTTTTTCTTTCTTTATGATGGGTTTTAGTAGCATTATCCTCTTTTTTGCTGCTGCTCCTTCACGTACCTAGCCTGCATCAGGCAGTTCGTAGGTTTTCCCTCAAGCAGTTCGTCCCCCCCTGGTCTTTCTGTTGCTGGGGGGTGTGGTTCTTTCTAGCCCCCCTCCTTACCTAGTCCTCTCTCCCCCCCCCTCTCCCCATATCCGACATCGTCAACGATGCATGGATCATTTTGGATCCATCATCCACCTAGGCGAGCCAGGCACAGACAGCATGGCCCATAATCGCGCTTCGCTTTCGCCTTGCAGACGGTTTCTGGTGCGCCCCTCCCCTCTCTCTTTCTCTCCGAGGTATACTCCGTGTGGTGGAATTAGTTCCCGATGAACCGGGAGTAAAATGCATCCGCTAGAAATGGAAAAGAGACGTATGAGCAAGATAGTAACGATGGGCATGATTTTGGCTCCAGAAGTGACGAGAAGAGAGGGGAGAGGATGTAGCAGTAAGGGGGGGGTAGAGGGAAGGGGGCATGGCACGCGACTTTGCCCAGTTTCCGTTGTCCCACCCTCAACCACCGTTCGAGTTCCATCCGGATTCGCGATCCGGGACACGCCCAGGAGTCTCGAAAAGAGTTTTTTTTTTGTTTTCCCCTTGTCGTCTCCGTCTCGGTCTGTCCATCTGGGGCCACCCTTCGTCCTCGGGGGGGGGGGGGGGGGGGGGGTGGGGGGGGGGGGGGAAGTGGCACACAAAGCGTGGTGCCGGGCCCGGCGGTGTGTTATTGTGTTTTTTTTTTTTTTCGCCGCGTCTCCCTGCCCTCGTCGCGCGCGGGCCCGGCTGAGCCCGCTGGCGGGGGGGGGGGGGGGGGGGGGGGGGGGACTAGATGGCAGGGCGCAATTGACACCAAACGGAGTGACTCGGCGATCGTGATGTATTCGTAATCCACGTAATCCTCGGGCGCGCGCGCACAGTAATGCGCAAAGAATCATCCCATCAACTGCCGGACGTCGGTGGGCGGCCAGCGGACCTGCGCAAAGGTGAGGAGACGCTTGATGCTCTGCAGGTACTTGCGCGTGACCTCGTCGCCCATGACGTGCCCGCGCTCGCCGTCGTGCAGCTTCTCGCGGGCGCTGCGCTCGTGGATGCCGACCATGGTGACGCCGATGGGCCAGGCGGCTTTGCCGATGGAGAGGCGGAGGTAGCCGTCGTTCGCGTCGACGTAGCGGCGTTCCTGTGCGGCTTTGACGATTTCGATAATGGGCGCGAGGAGGTCGTCGTCGAGGTCGTACTTTTCGAACTTGCGGAAGAGCTGTCACGATAGTTTAGTCTGTGCTTGCCTGATGAACGTATGTGTGTGCGTGCGTGGGAACATACCGGCTTGAGGTTTTCGCGGCTCTGAACCATGGCGCTGTACGCCGTCTTGCTCGCCGTTGTGTCGCGCCGTTCCGCCTCCATTGCCTTTTCGTACTCGGCCAGGACCATGGTGAAGTAGGAAGCCAGCTGGCGGAACAGCCACCGCCGACCTTCCTTGTCCTTGGGCACGGCCGCGTCCACCTTCATGTCCTTCTCCTCCACGAGCTGCAGCGTCGTCGGGATGGGGCCCTTTGTCACCACCGTCGTGAGCCGCCTGTACCGCCTCAGCCTCGCGCCGTGGCCCTCGCCAAAGAGCGTCGCCGGCTCGCCCAGCGCGCGCAGCTTCTCCGCGAGCTGTCCGTCGGGGATGTCCTCCATGCCCTCTTCGACGGCGGCATCGTCGTCGTCTTCGGCCGTGGCCTTGACGAGCTCGGGCAGCCCCAGCCGCTTCCGCCGCGCGCGTTCTTCCTCGGCTTCTTTTTCCTCGCGCCGCAGCCGTGATTCCTCGGCGAGCTTTTGTCGCTTCTCCTCGCGGATCTTGTTCTCTGCCGCGTCGTCTTCTTCGCGCTTGCGTTTCGCGGCGGCCTTGGCTTCCCGCTCGGCCTCGACGCGGGCTTGTTCTGCCAGGTAGTCTTCCCTGCGCTTCGCTTCGACGTCGGCTCGTTTGATGTATTTCGATGAGGAGGAGGAGGCTGCTGCTGTGGAAGTGGGCTTCTTGGACTTGTCCAGCTCCTTGGACATGAGGGCTGCAAAGTCCATTTTGGCGTCGATTTGCTGTCCCTGTAGCTGACTGCGGTGTCTCGTGTGTCTCGGGTGGGTCCGTTCGGTCGTGGGTATCACCAGTCTTCCCTCGTGTGTTGTTCAAGAGCAGAACTCGCCTCCACGTCGATGAGATGTCGTCAAACGAGAACGGTAGAAAACCGGATAGAGCGTTGCCGGATTGACAATTAAAAAAAGCTTAGTTTTCGGGAACGGCGCCCTACGTGTGGTGGACGATCCATGCATGGAAGCTTTGGAAGATCGCGCTTAACTTGCACAGCCTCACTCGCCTACGACCTTGACTCCAGTCGGGAGGGACGCACGCCCGCACCTCTTCGTCCGCGCACACCACGACCACTCACACACCGCAATACGTACTCTCACACTCTTCTTACACACACAAACGCACGCGGCAACTGCAGCAGTTTTGAACTAGTTCCCGCTTCCCTCCTCTTTTTTCTAAACCCCCGTTTGATTCCCTTTTTGGGGGCCTAAAAAGGTGCTTGTTTGTACCTGTTCGTCGCAAGGGGACCTGGGGGCCTGGAGCTTGTCAAAAAGGAACCATCGAGCTTGTTTTCACTACGAATACTCCACACAGGCGAGTATACGTATACGTACTCCCCGACGTCGTCTCTTCTTCTTCCCATCGAAGCGCGGGTTGGCTATACTTGGCGGTCTTCGGCATGGCTTCCCATCAGCGGGAGGATACTACGCCATTCCTTCTGCAGCTTTTCTACAAGGACGGGTCATTTCACAGGTACGTCGACTCTGCCTGACGCGTAGTACTATTCTCGACGCTGACAGACCCATATAGAACAGACGAGTTTGCCTCGAGGAGCCTTCCGCCCTTCCTATCACTCTACACATGGCCCGACTGTACCTTGGACGAGCTCGCCGAGCTTATCACAGCTGAAGACCCGGCGCTGCTACCGAGCCCTTGCGTGGGCACGAGGCTCGCCTTCCGCCTCATCTACCCCGATACCCGGAATGCAGCAGCCAACGCGGGAGGGCACCATCACCACGGACAAGCGCAGGGGCCAAGGTTCATGGTCAAGGACCTAGGGAGCGTGGTGCTCGGGGACGGCACTGCAGAGGCGCTCCTGGCCGCCGATGGCGAGGGAGAGGGGGAGGGGGAGGGGGCAGACGACGTCGACATGTCCGGCGCCGGCGCCAAGCAACCCGACGACGCTGACTCGGCCAAGGACAAGACGCTCAAGGAGGTCAATTTCGTGGTCGGAGATTACGTCTCGTGCGCCATACTTCCGCCGCTGCCGGACGGCTCGGTGGCGCCGGCCCTCACTGCGCGAAATGATAGGGCAGCGGGGCAGTTTGGCGGTGCAAGAGGCCCGATGGGCGGTCCGCCGTCGCAGGGGCCGCGCCGGGACGCTGGGTTCGGGGGAAGGCAGAGCTGGGACAGAGACCGGCGGCGCTCTGGGTTCGGAGATGGTGGATTCCCCGAGGGGGAGTGGCGGAGGGGCGAGAGGCTGCCCGATGATCCACCAGACCGGTCTCGGGGTAGAGGTAGACGACCCGATAGGTGGTGATTCGACTTGTAGTCGTGGTTCCGGGTACTTGGGTTTGTAATTACGCACGGCGTTATGGCTCGTTTGGAAGGTATACCAGGCGGCGTTATGATCACTTGCAAGCGTCGTTCTTCCACGTCTGCTTGCTATCAAAGCATTGCCTTGCTTCAAAAGTTGGCGAAATTCGTGACTGCATCGAAAGCAGTACAGACATCTTGCGATCGTCATGGTGCACGGGAGAAAAGTACTTGTTCGATGTTCTCATTCCTCTACTCCGGGTCACGGTCCCGGGCCTATCTACACAATTCTCCCCCTCGATATCGTGCCCCGTCTATCGCTCGTAAACCAGGTCGCCCTTGCGCTTCGCGCGGAGGTCCCAGAGACCCTATGGATCGGTCAGTATATGTACTTCCGGCGGTCCGAAGGGGGTACGAGGGGCAACTCACGTCGGTCTTGTAGCCAATGTAGCCGACGACGAATGGCACAAAGACGGCGTACATGAAGGTGACGCGAGCGGTTCTCGGGGTCCAGCGGAAGAAGATGTGTCTGTTGCTCTGCATGTCTGTTGAGTCGCTCTCAGGTCAGCCCTTTCACTCCTCTCCATGTCTTTCCATGCCACACAGCAGCTCAGTCGCGCGGTATCTGATCGCCTCGCATCGCATTCGGAGGGTTCGGTGGAAAAGGAAGGGTTATACGTACGTCCCAATTTGACCAGGGCCGGGTCAAGGGCCAGCTCTAGTTTGATCGAATTAGCATCGGTGGTTAATTTTGGTGTCATTTGGGGCACTCACTGTGGTGGTGGCCTGCCATCTTGAATGATGATCAGGACCGGTTCGCAGTTTGATCAAGAAAGAGATTAATTCGGTCGGCCGACAAGGGTTTGCGGGGTTCCGAAGGGCAATTGCTGCTTCGCTCGTCAATGTGAAGCTCCGTGATGGCACAATGCATCGCGAGTCTTGGGAGTTCACTGCTTAGGTAATATTGGCAGGCCTTGACTGTCAGGCATCAGCCAATCAAGTGATGGGCATTAGCCAGAGTGCAAGCAATGACACACTGTGCTCTGAGGCGTCTGTCTCTCCGGATCCATAGTGCGTGATCGGTGATCGACACTGCCAGTCTACTGGGCGAGCTGACTTCTCGCTCTGTCGTTCATATACGTGCAAGACCCGTAAGTTTACATAAGCAACCCAAGTCAACGTGCCAGAGTGGTTAATGGGCAGCCCTGCTAAGGCTGTGGCTTCGGTCGCGCAGGTTCGAATCCTGTCGTTGACGCTTAACCTTTTGCAATTTTTGTCTCCAACTCAATTGGCACGCCTGGGTAGCTCTATGCTATAACCATCTTGCCTTCCAACTGTGTTCGAATCATTGTAGTAGATCACGAGGCAGTATTAGCAAAGACACGATTCAACACTCAATAGGAGACAAGAGTGATTGTAGGCCTCCGCTGCGAACCTAGCCAGACAACGATAGATCGGCGACTCAATGTGGTATGCAATTCGGAGCCAGCAGTCCCGCCGATTTGATGTGCAGTCTAGAGAAGTTCTGGTTCTATGCCGAGGCCTGGAGACCGAGGCAACCCTAAATTGTGGGGCATAATTCCGTGGCTTTGCGCTGTGAATTGGCTGCTCGCTGCGTGCTGCGCATGCTGTGTTCCTGTGACAGGAGACGGCCCAAGTGCTTTATGTTTTGGGAAAACACCTGAAAGTGAGCTCGGTGGGGCCGGGCCCTTTGCCTTCCGATGAGCTAGTGACGTATAAAATGAGGGACGAAGCCCAGAAACCTTATCAGGTTGAACAATTGATGTTCAGAGTGGTATCGTGGTGTAAATTCAGATTCAGTGAGGTGCTTAATTGAGAATTCATCGCCAAAAGAACCAATCGAATACCCTCAACATGGCGGCAACTGAACAGAAGCCCAAGGTGAAGCTCTACTGGTAAGTCAAGTCCAGGTTTCACTCATACTCTGTATTCCAAGCTCACCAATTCACCAGGCTGGAGCAATCGAGAGCCCAGAACATCCTGTGGCTCCTCGAGGAGCTCAAGATTGACTATGAAATCGAAGTGTTCCACAGGAATAAGCAGACGCTCTTGGCGCCTCCCGAGCTGGCAAAGGTTCATCCTCTGGGCAAGTCGCCCGTGATTGAGATTTTCCCAACCGGCTCTGGCGAGTCCATCAAGCTGGCCGAGAGTGGCTACATGACGCAGTACCTGTGCGAGCACTTTGGCCAGAACACTAGCCTCATCCCCAAGAAGTGGAAGGACGGCCAGGAGGGCAAGATTGGCGGCGAGACTGAGGAGTACTCGAGGTGCCAGTATCTTCTTCACTACATTGAGGGCAGTCTGCTCCCGGTCCTCACCATGTCTCTGGTCATTGGAGGTGAGTCTCACGTCAGGTCACGATTCTGGAGTATTCGCTGACGCCTTGCAGCCCTGAAATCCGATAATGTACCCTTCCTCGTCCGGCCCATCACGTCGGTGGTGGCCAACCGGATCTACAGCATGGTGATCTTCCCCAACGCCAAGAAGCACATGGCCATGATTGACCAGATGCTCGAGACGTCGCCCAATGGTGGCAAGTACATTTGCGGCGAGCACCTCTCGGCCGCCGACATCCTCCTCAGCTTTGCGCTCATCGCGGCGCAGCCCCGCTTCGACGGTCTGGGGAGCTGGCCCGGCGGTTCTGCCAAGGCGGCGCACCCCCGTGTATTTGAGTATATCGAGAGGCTCAAGAAGGAGCCCGGCTATGAGAGATCGGCGCAGAAGATTCGCGAGATTGACGGCAAGTTTGAGGCCACGATCTCTAAGATGTAAAACGTGACGTTTGATGAATTGGGTTCGGGGACTAGGGAGATATACCACTTTACTAAATTGACCTGCATTCTATTGGACCGTCTTCTCAACTTTGCTCCTTATCCACCTTTGAATACGTCAATACTATTCGCAAACGTCTCATGCAACTTAACAGCGCGTCGCAAAGTTCATCATCTCACGGCTTCATCTCAAAGCTCTTGTATGATGCTAAGTGGCCCAAGCTTCCCGAATGGAGCGCTACCGCAGGGACCAACGGCAGGGATTCCGGGCCGCTAAATCGACGTGCGTTCCTCCCGCTGTCGGCAGCTTTTCCAGTGACGCCCCGACGTATTTTTTTGCAACATCATCCAAGTCGCTTCAACCCGCCAACGCACCCGAGGGCTAGACGAACGCCATGCTCGCCTCGAGGACGGTATGCGCCCAATGCCGTTCGAGGCTTCTGGCCGGCGCGGCTACAATCGGCGCGGTCCGACCGAACTCGACGACAAGCTTTCCGTCCGCCGCCGTGGACCAGCCGTCCCGAACCCCGAAACCCAAAGCGACACGACCACCCACGAGGAAGCACAAGGGCAGCGGCAACGAGACTGCGAAGCAGAGAGTCCTGGATCTATTTGAAGAGACCGTCAGCAAGCAGCCCGCGCCGGCGGCTCCTAGCAACGGCCCGGGCGTCAACCAGCTCTACTCACTTACCGACGAGCTCAGCCAACTCTTACAACAGAGACAGAAGCAAAAGATCTCCGATTTGGAATTTGCGACACAGGCATACACGTTCATAACCACAAAACTTCTGGTGTCCGCGCAAAAGTCGGGTGTCTATCTGCCTCAGGTTACCACAACAATAGCCAGCCAAGCTTTACAACAAATCACGAGAATCAAGTTTGCGACGGTAGAGGCCGCCGACCTCCCCCGAACGGTAGACATATGCAAGTTGTATACTCACATAAATAACAAGAGGGTTGTGAGGCGACTGGAACTCATCAATGGCCTCCTGCGAGCAATCATCTCAACTCGAGCGGACCCGGAGAACCAGGCTGTGGAGGACCGGCTGCTGGAGGATCTGGTGGAGTGCTGGAAACACTTTTCGGGCTTGAAGCGCGCAGACAGCGGCCTCGAGTCGGATCCAGTGTTTTGGCTCACGTCACGGCGGGACTTGCTAGGGACCGAGAGACCCGATAGACTCCTCCGCGCGCTCTTCCCTTTTTTTGCAGCCAACGAAACGTCAGGCCTAGGACCGGCCCTCGTAGCCACCTACGTATTGCTGTCTGAGTCCAAGCATATGATCAGCAAGGCCAGGTTGGAGGCACACCCGCTGTTGGAAGCACTGGATCCTATTGTCAAGCAATTCGATAAGGACATGCTGCAGGAGCTCTTTCGCGACCATGCCGAAGTCTGGAGCTACGTCCAACCACGGGCGGACTGGAGGGTGACGCGCGTGGCTCCCGGAACGTGGAAAGAATTGGATACTGTGTCTCCAGGCAAACCCGATCAAGCCAAGTCAGCGGTGCGGTTCTCTTATGCCCTGTGGCACCGGCGGTTCGAGACCGTCTTCCGTGCAAACGACACTGCAGCCATCCAGCAGGCCTGGAGAGACCTGATCAACCCGGCCAACGACAAGGACCGGACCCTGAGGTTGCAGAGCTCTCCGGACCTTTTCGACTACATCCTGTTCCTCGCGTGTAGCAAGTACGGGTTAGGCGCAAGCTTTTCCAAGCTGACGGAGGAGATATTGGCGTACATGAAGACTCTGGGCATGGCCCCGACGGTCAGAACGTACACGTCAATGATGAGTGGCTGGAAAGAGGCCAGGCGGTTGGAGCCGATTGAGAACCTGTGGAAATTCATCACAAACGCAGGTGTCAAACTGGACCAGCAGATCTGGTCGAGCAGGATCTCGGCCCTCGGCCTTTTGGGCGGCGAACATGACGGTCTGGGTGCCCTCAAGGAGATGGATAGGTTGTGGAGCATGGCAGTAAAGAACGGCACGCAAGGAAAGGCCGTCGAGCCTGGCATTTCCAACGTGAACGCAGCCATTTCCGGCTTGCTCCGCCGTGATAACATGGAGGTCATCCGTACCGTACTGGACTGGGCGACCGACAAGGGTATCACGCCCGACATCTACACCTACAACATGCTCCTATCACGCATGCTCAAAAAGGGGGCCCACGAGGAGGCGGACCGGATCCTCGCCAGCATGAAGACGGCGGGCATCACGCCGGACGGGGCCACCTTTACCGTCATCATGGAGGCGGCCCTCAGCGACCTGCCAGACCAGACGCCGCAGGAGCAGCGGGAGACGATGGACAGGGTATTCTCCGAGATGGCCGCCTGCGGCATCGAGCCCAACCAGGAGTCCTACGGCAAGATGCTCCACGTCCTCGTCCGGGCGGGCGACAGCGGCAAGCACGCCGTGGCCGCGCTGCTCTCGCACCTCCGCGCATCCCGCCTCCATCCGTCGACCGAGATGTGCACCATGCTGGTCGAGTACTACGTCAACCGGAATCGGCCCGACCTCGACTCGCTGCGCGCCCTCGTCGCGGACCGCCGCGCGCGCACGCGGGCCCTGACGGACCGCGTCTTCTGGGAGAGCGTCATCAAGAACTATCACCGCGCCGGCGACCTCGACAGCGCGCTCGAGGTCGTCTACGACCTTGATGATTGGGGGATCTGGCCCGGCTTGCCGCTGCTCGACCCTCTGCTGCGGTCTCTGGTCCATCGGCAAGACTTTGAGGGGGCCAAGAAGCTCGTCGATACCGTCCGCAAGCAGGCCAGGCCTCAGGCCGCGGACAAGGCGGGTCGCTTTTCGAAGCACGGGTTCTGGGCGTTTGCTCACGATTACCGTCTATTGCCGGGGCAAGAGGAGGCGTAGAATACACATGTAGATTCTCAGCCGATTATTGTACTATACAAATAGATATCATCAATGTATATCAACTTGGAGATACCTTTGATCCCCAAGTCATGCATCTGGGAATCCAGCATGGCATGCTCTGAGTCTCGTAAAGTGACATTATCACATCGTATATTGACGCTTGTCTTTCTTCACCATAGACGAAAAGGCCAATGCGGTGCGAGGGTATTCATAGAGTCACTAAGAAAATAGTCAATGCGACGAGAAGAAAGTGAGACGGACAATATCAGTCGATATCGGTCCAACGTCCCTTCGATACGTCTTTCTTCAGAATATTGAATCACGCCGTACGCACATCAGTCTACACAGCAGCGCCCCATCCATGACATGTACACATTTACTTGCCAACAGCACCCAGCACATACTTGATCCCCTCCCAGTGCTCCTCGGCCGTGGGTAGAATGAACTCGGGCGCCAGAATGAACCCAGACCCTCCGCTCCCCCCGCTCTTGGGCCGCAACTCGACGCTCCACGAGTACGTCGCATTCAGCGCCCCGTGGTGAAAATCTCTGGCAGAGCCCGTGGAATAGTACAAAATCTCACACGACGGGCCGACCTCGTAGGTCTCCCCGCTCGTCGCCGCAATCGTCGCGGCGTACCCCGCGCCCACGTCCCGCTGCGCCTGGAGGTTCCGGGGCAGCACGTCGGGGTCGCAGGAGAAGCCCCAGGGGAGGAGGATCAGCTGCGAGTAGCTGTGCCAGTCAATGAAGAGTCTGATGCCGCTGCCACCGGTGGAGTTGGTGGCTGTGGAGGCTAGCTCCCGCGAGAGGGCCGAGAGTACGACGTTCTCGGTCGTGTCGCCCGGCGCGAGGCCGCGGAAGGTCTCGCCGCACGGATCGGCGGAGACGCTGCCGTCCTCGAGGGGGTAGTCCCACTGGAAGTTCCAGTTGCGGTTGCCGTCGGTGCCTATGCAGGTCGTGTTGGAGCGCGGCTGGCGGTTCTTGCGCCAGAGGCGGTTTGTGGTCTGGCTGTACACAAAGCCTAGACACGGAGGGGGAGTTTCATGAGTGATTTGGATGGAGTTTTGGTAATACACCTTTTGACTTACCATCAGGGTTATGAAAGGGCACAATGTAAAAGTCGTAAGCGTCGAAGAAGGCTGTGACGTTTTGGTCTCCAGACTTGTAGCCGTCGATGAGTTGGTAGGTCAAGTACTCGACAGTCTACTCGCGGGCATTAACACCCTCACTTACAAAAGCGTCTGGGATGTGTTCACATACCATTGTAGTAATCCACTCCCTGGCATGAACGGTGCTGTGCCAGAGGACAACGGGCTTCGTCCCCGTGTCCTCGCCTCCCCAAAGCCGCAGCCCAAATATGTTGCGGCCCTCATACGAGGCACCAATGTCCAGCCACTCCGAGTTGTCGGGAAACGCAGCGTGGAGGTCCCTCCAGTACTGTACGTGGTCGTCATACGCGTGGTACGAGTCGAACCAGCTCAGGTCCGGCAGCTCGCCCCTCTTGGTCAAGCCGGGCTTCTTTTCGGCCTCGGACTCGGCCCTGATCGCCCGTCCGAGGTCATCGTCTAGAAGCTGCGTGTCGTCCAGCAGTCCCAGAGCCTTGAGTGGTTCAACCTCGCTGGGCGGGATCGCGACTTCGACGGAGCCCTTGAGGTCAATGGACGGGAACGAGCGCAGGTGGGCGAGTTGGTTTGGTGGTGCGTTGGATGTCGATACGCGGTAGACCTGGTAGCCTTCGTAGCTGACCTTTTCGTCTCGGAGCGTCTTTATCCTATTGTTGCCGGTGAGGGCGGTGACCGGGGCGATTACGGCGAGTAAAGCTGTGAACTTCATGATGACTTTTGAATTGAACACAGCCGATTCGCTGACAAGCGTCCGTCGTTCAGACGAGTATGAGCAAATGGCGTCTGACGCTTTTATACAGACATCTCCGGCGGATCTTTGCGCGCTTCCGTTCACCTTTCCCCGCCGTGTGAATCGCACAAAATCTTCATCTTGGCCGTGGCGAACCTAAAGGGCAAAAAGTGAGGGGTCGACGGTTGATAACCATGCAAGCCAAGACCGAGATGCTTGTATGACGCTCTCGAGTCTCAACGTTTCGCGGGCCAGCGTAGCATTTTCGCAGACATCCTGCAAACCATTACTTTCGGCGTGCTGAAGAGGGTCTAGCAAACTCAATTGCAAAGTCGTACGCGGAGATGCGAGGCTACACCCAGAAGAGTAGGTGCTAGACCTTGTTGTCTTGGCTTGCGAGGATAGCCGAGAGTCAGGTTGAAAGACCAGGAAGGCTCGGGATATTGATTTCGAGGAGGCGAGAAGAGCGAGTGGTGCGATGGATGCAGCGGCTTTAATGCGTATATTTAGACAAGCGAATTGTTATTGTGATACAATGAGCAAGGAGCAAATCTCATGGAGCTAGACCAGTAGCCTCAAGTCCGAGTAATTTGCCCACAGTGAGACTCCGTTCCATCATTTGACAAATGACACCTCGAGCCTGGTGGCTTAAAATGTCCATCTTAAGTAAGAGTCCGTAAGATCTTCAGGGAATGTGTCTTACACGGAAGACTCCGGTCCAGTAGAGCGCCGTGACGCCGCCCGACTCATGACCCGGCCCGGAAGTGGGATTCGGGTCACCACGGGGTTTTATTACCTTGAACATCGGAGCAGGCGACGAAATAGAGCAGAAGTGGTCCCATCAGATTGGAACTCATTGGATGTATGATTATGTTCTGACTATGCTTTCAAGAGCATACTCGCTAAGGAAGATGTAGAGAGAAGGAGTAACAACATAGCAACGGCAGCAGCAGTAATAGCAGTGGTGAGATTGAAAGTGTGGTATTGAGCGGCAAGCTACCGTGTCGCCCATTTCCCATCATCATCACAACTCAAAGATGGGAGCTGCCAAAGTACATAGTATTCTCGGAGATCCATATTATTTCAATCTCCGCCTGGTCCGATATTTTGATTGTTCTCTTCGATTCCCTAACCTTATGTTCGATCCCAAGAACATCAGCCAGCAGTTCATGTCGGTCGAGAGGGATTACCTCGCTCCGGAGGACCGTAACCGAACGCAGCTTTACCATGCTCCCAGTTGCCCGTAAGCCTTGTACCTGAAGGTTTAAACGTTCCTCGCTCAGCGACGAATCTTCCAGCAGCCCCAGCACCTCCACTGAGCTCGGTAGAACATTGCTGAGGTGTAGGATTGATGTCATTGACTGATCCTCAATGTTCCCTTCGTTTGGGTTCGATCCATGCCCGCCATCACTCCCCAGCAGCATATCGAGGGGAATCTCGAGCGTCTCGAGCCGTGTCAATTCTCGCAGTGACCCGATACGTCCCAGTCTTACAACGTCATCAGGGTCATGGTAGTCATCCGTCTTTTCGAATTCTGGGCGGCAGTCCAGCTCCAATTTACGGAGGTTCTTTCCATGTTGACGCAGAGCCTCGCCGATTCCATTGCACTCGGGAACGCCGCCACCGTAATTGAACATGCTTTCGAAGGCCTTGCCCCATCTTAGGCTTAGTGCCTTCAGATTGGGACAGCACCTGAGCAGGTTTGTCAAGTCCGCTGCTTTATATAGCGAGTTAAACAGGCAGACCGACCTCAGCGCTAGGGGTTGTTCCGTTTCATTCCACTCGATTCCCCTTCCGCTAAAGGCCTCCACTCCCTGTAAAAGCAAGGGCTCCCATCGAGAGAGCCGAAAGCTTTGGCGATCCTCAAGATATTCCCATTGGTTGGCATGGACCTCCCGTAGACGGGGAAAGGGTCCCGGTTGTTCCACCTCGCCGATCAATTCCATCTGCCCATCGTCTGACAGGCAATGCATGATCTCCACCTCTGGAAGCAGCCAGGCCAGGAGTAGCATATGAGGAGCCCCTCGGAAACGCAAGAGCTCTCCAGAACCACTTCTATAACGATCAATGGCGGCCTTGAAATGCCCATGTTCGGCAGAGCGTTGCAACTGGAATAACTGCTCTTCAAGGTCTTTCTCGGCCCACGAGTGATCGAGCCCACGGGGGATGGTGAGATGCCTTACGTATCTTCCTAGGTAGCGTTTGCATTTGATGGTCTCAAGGAAACGGTTGAAGCTACAATCCGAAAGCCAAACCGTATGGTAAAGAAAGGGCTCCGCAACTTTCTGGAAACCTCTAGATACGCGGCAAAGGTTGGACAAAGTGGCATAGTCTCGACCGCTGGGGCGCATGTAGGTCGGTTCGGGATGTGGGAGGCTTTTGATGATTGCGAGATAAATCTCTTCGGGTAGATGAGACGGCATCTTGGTCGGTGATGCCGTAGAAGTGAGAGGTGCGCGATGTGGTGGAGCTGATGAGGATGGGGTTTGACAGCAATAACAAACGGCAGGGTGTCGCGGTGATGTAGGGTCGAGATTAGGTAATTAGGCAGGCATCGCTCTTTCCTGAAGTCAGATATTAGTTTCCGTCTACCTCTTGCCTCGCTTGGAAATCCCAGCTCACCTAGAGGCAGGAACCCCGTTTCAACTTGGGGCGTCACTTCCTCCCTTGACCGAGTGCGATCCTTGGTCACGAGGTAAAGATCTGGTTCTTGCCAGCCACAGGTGAAAAATAAGGTAGGAACGAATTTTATGTGTTCAGGTTCCAAGAATGGGCCTAGAGCCTGAGGTTTCTCTTCTCTCCGTCTGTCCTTCCTTGCCATCCTTCTCGGTTGAACCGCATCTTATTCCACGTATATTGAACCCAACAAGTTGTGATATGTCTCTGCCCATACCTCCAATGCTCTGCGTCCTTGCGAATCCTCTCCAGAAGAGACACGGGGCCCTCCTGAAGCGATCTCGACATGAGAGAAGTCTGCATCATCGAGACATCTGTCGTCTGCTCTAGCCTAGCTGGTATTGGCAAGACACCATGACCTTCATCCATGTTGATTCTCGTTCCCTGTCGATGCCCCAACGGTGACGGCATCCTAAATAGCTGCCCTGCAACTTTTCGTGCTTGGCTGAGTGAAGCAGCGAGCTTTACTTGCCTCAGGCACATCGAGTTTCTATCCTGCTATAGGTGTAGCAGGTGGCGCGGTCGAATTTGCCGCCTTCCCTTCAGTCCTCGACATTGATTGGGATCCGTCTGAGTGATAGCCCGCTGACGGGAAAGCGAGTGGTCGCTCTGCGCAAGAGCCAAATCGCCTGACCTGGCATCGCAGCTAAGATGACGACGGTGCCGTTGGGCATGCTCTGTCGGTGGCGAGATTGTGAGTTCATTTCAATCTTCTCAAAGAAGTTGACATCCGAATAATCACTTCATGACTCGTCCATTGCGTCGAGATCGGGCTGCTCAGTAGATTCCCCGGAACCTCCCCCGAGCGCGGCAACCACTTGCTCCAGCCCCTCCACCTCGCCCATGGCAAACTTCCTGCCCTCACCTTGCCACTCGCCATCGCGCACATCGCCATCCTTGCCGAGTTCTAGCCCACGCACATGCTCCAGATGCTTCCGCGTGGCCCCCTCGACATACTCCATTCTCTCTCGTCTCCAACTCTTTTGCTTCTCGGGGCCGTCCTCGGTGCTGGACGGGTCCTTAAGGTCAGGCATGATGTTACGCAGCGACGTCGATAACGCGCGCAGCGCCTGGAGTTGCGACATGTTGAAGGCGGTCGTGGTCGTTATAGGCGCTTTGAAATCCCCGTCTGCCAAGTCGCCCTTCTCCTGCAGGAACTGGAACGGCGCCCTGTCGTCGGACCCCTCAACCTTGACCTGTCCCACCAGCGAAGCCCTGGATCCGGCGGGCTTACCACCAATGACCCCTCGCAGCTTCGCCAGTAGCGCCGCATTCTTTGCCTGCTCGGCGTGTAGCATCACGTTGAGCCGCTGGCTGGCCTGTAGCTTCCTTCTCAGCGCATCGACGCTTTCCCTCGTCGGCGCGTCCTCGTGAGTGGCATTGAAGTCGAGACCGTCGTAATGGGCGAGGCGCATCCAGTTTCGCTGGCCCTGCTGAATGCTCAGAATATTCTTCATGACGTAAAGCTCAAACTTGTCGAAATTCTTGTCAATCGCGGCGCACAGCAGCGTCTCCAGCTTGTGGACGCCGTCGACGATCTCGAGCTTCGCCGTCTCCTCGACGTCGACAACCTCGTCTGCGGACCGTTTCTTCTGCTTCAGCGCCTTTTCGAACCCGAGCGCTTTCGGAGGCGCCTTCGAAAGACCCTGCTCGACGCGGTCGAGCGTCTTGTCGGCTACGGCATTGACATTATTGATGATGCTGTCCAGCAGCGACTGAGAGGAGGCGTAAGTTCTGAGGCGTCGCGTAATTTCAGTGCCAATGGCAGACTTACAATTGGTGCGTATCCCAGATGTTCTGTCAAAAGTTCCACGTCAATTATCGTGCGCTGCGCCATCGTGTTCAATCGGCTGACTGGTGGGCTTGTCGGGGAGAGGTTCGTGGTTAAGTGGGCGGACAAAGTGCCATCTCCAAAGACGCGACGGACGCGACGGAAGTCAATATTTGGTAAGGCACATCGACCGAGGGGTCTGTTCCCCCGAGAATGGGGGAGGGGGAAGAAGGCCTGAATCGCAAGGCGTCCAGCAGGGGGCCACCCTCCTCCAAATTCCCAGTCCAGCGGCCCAGCACGGCGACACCCGTAATTTTAGCGATTTCGATAGCGGGTAACACTGCCACGCACCTCGGGCGACGTCACGCAGGAAACCAGGATGGAGCGCTGACAGAGAACCACCGCCGGGGACGACGCAATGCGAGCCTCCACCGGTGCTTTTTACATTAATTGCACAACCTGCCGTCGACAAAATCTCCCCTTTCCACACACGCCAAGGGCACGAGTCAACAGCAATACTTCTTCCCCCTTTCCCTCTGTTCGACCCAGCCTCTGCAATAATGTCGTCGAACTTTGGAAATTTCATGAAGAATGGCTGGCACCCCGAGAAACCGGGCACCACCTTCAAGGGCCAAGTGGTATGTCACCGGGCGGGCCTCTCTGCAACTGCCACGGGAAACTGACCAGACACACGACAGAACGGCCTCTTGGGAAGGAAAACGGAGAGCGACAGAGAGGAGCGCGTCGCCAGACCCCTATCGTCCCTCACAGATCCCTCAACCTTTGCACCGCCGCCGAAGCGTGTCCCGGGAACAATCGCACCCCCGCCCCCGCCATCACGTTCCAACGCAGCATCGCCTGGCGTACCACCGCCGCCGTACGACGACTCGAACCGATACCAGCAGCAACACGAGGAAGGTGTGGAGGAAGAAGCGGCACCGCCCAAGCCGTGGCGCACAGATACCACAGGCCTCTCAACCGCCCATCTGCCGCCCCCGCCGGGAAGAAAGGATGGCGCCGACGGACGGACGCCGGTGCCGGGTCAAGCCGGTGCCGCACGGCCGCCGCCCCCGAGCTTACCACCGAGACTGCCGCCCAGAACACCCTCCGCTTCGTCGGTAGCTAGGCCGGCATCGCCCGCATCAGCACCACCACCGGCGTCAAGCAGCGGCGGCGGATACCTGAACCAGAACGCGATGAACAGACTAGGAGCAGCAGGCGTATCTGTATCCGCACTAGGCATCGGAAAGTCCGCGCCCGCACCACCGGTCCGATCAAACGCCAGCAGCCCCGCGCCACCTCCCCGGGCCGGAGCCTTCTCACCGCCGCCGCCTCCGCCTACCACCAGCAGCAGCGCCAGCGGGGGCGGTCACATGAGCGAGTTGCAAAATAGATTCGCCAAGCTGGGCAAATCCGCCGTCACCAACCATCAGTCCTCCACCCCGCCGCCGACAGAAGGCACCACGACAGAGCAGAAGCAAGCCGCGCTGCGCACCGCAGCCGACTTTCACAAGAACCCGTCATCAGTCTCCGTCTCGGACGCCCGGTCCGCCGCGTCGACGTTTAACAACTTTCGTCAGCGGCACGGCGAGCAGGTCAAGTCCGGGTATCAGAGCGCCAACAACTTTAACCAGAAATACGGCATCACGGAAAAGGCGGGAAACTATGCCGGAAAGGCAAAGAGCTTCTACAACGACCAGGTCGGGCAGAAGCAGCAGGCCGGGGCTAATGCGGACACTACTACGACCACGGCACCTAGTCCGGCGCCGAGCCCGCTGTCACCTCCGCCTGGGCTGGTGAGCGCAGTCGGAAAGAAGAAGCCGCCTCCGCCGCCGCCTCCAAAGAAGAAGCCACAGCTGGCTGGAGCACCGGCACCACCGCCGGCGCCTTCGCCTCGAGACGACGATGATGCACCTCCTCCGATCCCCTTGGCAACCAAGCCGACGTTTTGAGCTGGGCAGGCTTTTTGGGGTGGTGTTGGTGGTGGATGAAGCTGGCTGGTGGGCATCACGTACGATTCCGAGGCTGAGTTGGTGCATGCATTTTCCTCTGCAGTCGGCCAATGCATTCTGCGGCGTTTTGTTAATGGTCGGACTACCTCACGCTGCGGGGTAGTATCAAAATAGAAATCGAACCACTTTGTGGGAGCATCATTCAACTTTCAAGTGTTCATATAAAATGAAGCTCGTCGAGCAAGTGTATAGGGCAATAAAGTTGTTTCGTTCATATGATCATAAGCACGGCCGACGCCGGGTGTGCGCTTTTTATTTTTTTTGCTTGCTACGGGGGCTTTTGAAGGGATATATGCCAAAGCAGATGGGTGGTACGCTATAGCAAAGGTGTTTTTCTTGTAAGACGTCAAATTCTTCGGTCTCCAAAACAAACACCGATAAAATCTCGAGAAAAAACAACAGAGAAAGAACTCATTCCGTGTCGAGATTTAAACCTTCATGCCCTCGAGGCCGTGCTGCCAGACGATGATGTAGGGGGTGACACCATCCTCGCGGTAGTTGAGGAGGACGACCCTGTCCACAGGTTAGCATCATTTGGGCGGGTCTGACGAGGGAGGTCTTGGGGTGGGAGGTTTTGCTTACATTCCATCGGGGTTCATCGACTCGCCAGTGTAGAACTCGAAGTCCTTGAAGTTGGGAAGGAGGGTCTCCTTGACGTACTTCTGGGCACCCTTCTCGAAGGCGGTGATCTTCTCGGCGGGGGCGTTCTTCTCCTGAAGGGCAGTCTTGACAGTCTTCATGTAGCCTAATTGCGAAGCTTGTCAGTACACCAATAATGCCTTTATTTATACATGAGATGGTTTCACACACCCTTGAGGTAGCCGAGGAAGCTCTTCTTGTCGAACTGGGTGGACTGGAGGCGGAAAGAGTGGACAATGTTGTTGACCTTGATCTCGGCGTCCTCAGTACCCTCGTCAGCCTCCTCGGCGGAGGCGTTGGCGCCGGTGTCTGTGCAAAAGTCGCTTCTGTCAGAATGTTGTTTTTTCTAATGTATGTTTCGATGTGCTTGGGAAGCGCGCGGGGTAAGCGCCCAGCGGGGAGGGGTGATGTGGGCGGATGGGTGGTTCACGAACCGACGCTGACGGCGCCCTCGGTGATCATGGCGCAGTCGGCCTCGAAGACAATGCCATCGATGTCCTTGAGGTCGTAGGAGTCCGAGATGATCTCGTCTCCGGTAATGATGTCCTGTATCGCAGTTGTTCGGTCAGCATATTGAAAATAATCCTCATCTTCAAAACATCAACATTTTTTCAAACCCCCCGGCCGTCCAATGGCGGGGGATTTCCGAAGGAGGGGTAAAAACAGCTATGCCTGGCTGCACAAGTCGTCCACAGTCCTCGAGAGAAGTGGTCTGGCAATGATAAAATAGACGTACCTTGTAGATAATCATCTTGGCGGTTTGTCTGAGGTGTCGAGGAGGTGAGGTATTGGCGAGACGGGAAGTTTGTTGTCTGGGTCTGGAGAAGTAGGAGGAACGAGCAGAAAGGAGGGGGGTTGCTTTTGAAGGGCGAAAAGTGTTCGCAAAATTGGCAAGTGGGAGGGACTGTGTTTGGTGGGGTTTTCTGAGCTAGTCTTGATATGGGTTGGCGGCAAAAAAAGCCAGGCGGGTTCCTGTATCCGTACTCGAAAGCTGTTAGTGCTCAAGCCTTTGATCACCGCTAGATCCCTAACATCGTGGCGGGTTGCCCGAAGGGCGAGAACACTGAAGGTGCGGGACCTGAAGAGATATCAACCCGATGAGGTTCGCCTTTCAAGGTATCCTGCGACAGTATGGTATTTTACCATTTTTTTTTCCATCTGTATCTCATCATTCAGGTGAAGATTAGTGAAGCAATTAATCTCACTGGGCTTCAGATGCAATGAGCATCTTAAAGCCTGTGGCATTTTCTCAGCTAAGACTGGATGATCTGGGGCATGTGGTGTTGATTTTGGCGAGGTGAACTGGATGTCTTACCTAAGCCGTGGATGGAATCGAGCCCTTGACGGCGCCGCTGCCGCTGAAGGGCCTTTTACGATACCCACCGCAGGTCGTGGCTTAATGGGATTGAAGCTGGGATAGCCTCAACTACGTTCTGCGGCTGGTCGAGAGCGGTGAGCCCAGCCCAGACTCACACCAACTAGTTCTTCTGGGTCACATGAACACTCCTGACGTGTAACATCGTCTGGTGTTTTATGACAAGCCCGACACATGGATTGGGAGTGAGATGGCATTCATGATCAGGGACCGCCCTTGAGACAAAACAATGAAGTTGATCCTCCTTTGTCAGCACTCCTCGTCACCTTTCATCATCCTCTCATTCTTCACTCGTCCTTCTTGTTGTTTTGGTCTCACTGATAGGCTTTCTGTACTGCTGTTGAATCATCTGGAAAAAAAAAAAGGGGGGGGGGCGCTTATTCGAGCCATAGTGGGCGCATCATGCTCGTGAAATTGCCTTACGGTTTTACCTAAGCCCCCTCTCTTGGAGACAACACCATCTGGCGCTTGGCACTCGATCGCATCGCGGTAACACGGGCTTACTTAAGCTACCGAAGCGTCCGCGTGTTTACGGCATCGACAGGGGAGGGCCCGGTGGCCTGACACGGCAGCGTAGCAAGCCGCACATGGTTAAAGAGGTGATGACAGCATGGGCAAGCCCGCAGAGCCCGCCGCAATTTACGCGACCAAACCCGTGACGGGTACTCGAGGCAAGTCCGTCCGTGATGAGAAGAGTTTGAATTGCAGGCCCACGAAGAAGATTTGATACAAGAAAGGCATCGCGTTTGACGTATTGTTGACGATTCACTAACCGGATACCGCGGCCGTGGATATAGACTATTACCACAATGGTAGTCAGGTACAACTGACCAGGTCGAAAGGCCGAGGAGACAAGTGAACAGTTGTGGTTCGATCTGTGGCAAAAGCCGGGAGACGGTCGAAAGGCAAGAGGCCCGCGCCTTTTCACAAGCGAGATTGATAAAAGCGCATCATTCCTGGGCCTGGGAACCCGGCGCGGCGACGCCTGCGTAAGGATACCTACCTTAGTACCTAGAGTACGGATATTTGCAAGAGATCTACTACTGCGTGCTCCGTAGAGGGAGAAAAAATTGCCCCGTCGTCGCCGCTAATCAGACTCAACTGGGTATCCGTACAATCCACAGACCAAAGGTACCCAGATAAACTCCATTTGTACCTGCTATCAGGCGCATTGAAGCACCGCATGCACCGGGCGCGCAAGTCACTCCAGTCAGCGAATACTTGCAACATTTTGGGCGCATTGCGAACAAGGGCCAATGCTAGTCCAAGCTAGTGAAACCTCGAACCAACTCGCCACCAGTCTCCCGACGTCCTCTTACTCACTACCAAACTACCTACTACGCATACTACTAATTACAGCTCGCCCTGCTGCTGCTGCTGCTCTGCTCCGTCTCAGCCCTGTGCTGTGCTTCGCTCTCTGCTTTGACATCCTCCACCCTCCATCCACCCACCTACCTGCCACAGGCAACCCCCAAGGATTGGCATCTCATATATCCAACTTCCGTCCGCTCCTTACAAACCGCCTCACCCGCCACACGAACCCGTCATTCCCTACTTTATTCTTTCAATCTGCGTTCCTCCGATTCTTCGCCTTGAGACGCACGCGAGCATACATCTCAATCCTCCTCTGACCGACGCAATCGCTAATCCCACCACATCCGAACCGACCGAGCAAACGAGAGAAACCGCCGAACCCGAAAACCCGCCATGGTGAACGAAACCATCCCACCCACGATGGCGGCAAACTTCACGTCGACCGTCGGCGACCTCCCGCCTCTGCCGGAATTTACCCTCAAGCCCTATGCCGACCTCATTCCCGGCCTGCCCGACGTCTACCTGCGCATCTTCCTGCCCATCGTCGTCTACTGGATTCTGTCCCTCTTCTTCCACGTCATTGACGTCTACGATGTCTGGCCGCAGTACCGCCTGCACACCCCCGAAGAGATCACCAAGCGCAACCACGTTTCCCGCTACGAGGTCGCCCGCGACGTCCTCCTCCAGCAGCTCATCCAGGTCGGCATGTCCGTCTTCCTCGAGTACATTGACGAGGAGCAATTCACGGGCAAGGAGAACTATGACGTCGCCGTCTGGGCCACCCGCGTCCGCGTCGCCCAGCGCGCCCTGCCCACCATCCTCGGCCTGCTCGGCCTCAACGCCGCTTCCCTCGCAAAGAACATGTCCGCAACGCACCCCTTCATTGCCGGTGCGCTCGCCGGCGGTCACTACCCCTTCCTCACTACCGAGCTCGACGGATCACACGCCGTCGTCCCCGTCTTCGCCGCCTGGGAACTGCTCGTCGCAAAGGCAATTTACTGGCTCGTCATTCCTGGATTCCAGCTCTTCGCCGCCATCTCTATCCTTGACACATGGCAGTACTTCCTCCACCGTCTTATGCACGTAAACAAGTGGATGTACAGTGAGTTATGACCCAAATCCTCCCCCGACCTCTCGGGACTCCGACTCGGCCGAATGGCTCCCGGGGTATTTCGGCGCAAAGGTGGCAAACAGCTCAACTAACACAACAACCTCCTAGCGACATTCCACTCGAGACATCACCGTCTCTACGTCCCCTACGCCTATGGAGCCCTCTACAACCACCCGTTTGAGGGCTTCCTGCTCGACACCCTCGGCGCGGGCATTGGCTTCCTCCTCACCGGCATGAGCGCGAGGCAGGGACTTCTGTTCTTCTGCCTGTCCACCGTCAAGACCGTCGACGACCACTGCGGCTACGCGCTGCCCTGGGACCCCCTCCAGCACATCACGAGCAACAACGCCGCCTACCACGACATCCACCACCAGACGTGGGGCATCAAGACCAACTTCTCTCAGCCCTTCTTCATCTTCTGGGACCGCGCCCTCGACACGCGGTACAAGGGCGACAGGCAAAACCGGTTGCTGGCGTCAAAGGGCAAGGGAGCCGCGGTGGCGGCCAAGTCCGAATAAAAGGGCCCCTCGGCGATATGAAATCACAACAAAACAAAACACATATAATACAACTTGCTCCCTTTTTTCGATTCTGTAAAACAACCCAACTTGCCCCGATACCACAATGCCAAAACAGTCAGAAAAGAGAAAGAAGAAAAAAGTCGAGACCGGTTTCTGGATTCGCACATACAATACCTGTGGGAAGGAGAAGCCTGGTTCTTGCACGCAGTAACACAACAAGCCACCACTTTATACAATTAACTACAATTAGGGATAGCATTGGGAATGAGGCGTTTTCTTTTCATATCATGTCGAAACAATGGCACACGTTCGATTAAAGGGTTGAGGAGCAGGTCGTCCTTTTTTTCTGTTTCCTGTTTCAAGTATTGTGACCAACGAAGAGAAAGACTGGCCTGGGAATTTGTATTTTTTTTGTTCTTCTCAACTGTACACACACTCGCAAGCATGTGAGGTTTACTGTTTACACCCCCCCTTTTTTAAACAAGGCTTTTGGGGCTTTCAAGGCTTGTGTCCGCCCGCCGATATCCTTTGAGATGGGGAGGGAAATTGTAAGGGCAACGAAGAATAGGAGGAGCTGGGGAGGGTGAGGGATGAGGGAAGAGGAGGGGGGACGAAACACACAAAGATAACCCGGTTACAACCACATTGACTAATGGAAAGACTATAATAATTCCTTATCCTCGTTCCTAGGGGGTTTAGATGATGAATCCCTTGAGATCTTTCATGCTCTCATCTCTGAAGCGCGTACTCAGCAACCTTTTTCCGTAGACGCAGCATATGTCTTGACAAGGTGAGATTTGCATACACCATATCTCAGTTGAATTTGCGTCCATATGTTGTGTTTTGTTACCCAGAGAAGCAAAAGAGTTAACCGCAGGACGTTTCCTAGCGGTTCCATGTCACTACGGGGATATTCATCCTCCTCTCACATACCTTAGGTACACATCCCGAACATGTAAGCGACAGCACCACTCTATAATTGTCGACGTGCGGCGTCTCAAACGTAGATGCAGATGGGACACAGGTACCTTATGTATAGGTAGTCAGATGCAGGACGCTGGAACTATTCGACATTTCGTACATATTACATATAACCCGCAGGCAGCAGCAGCATCAGCTTTGCAGCATGCAGTCACAGAATAGGTACTATCGATGTGTTTGTAGTCCATCGGAGTTGGAGAGACACGTAACTTCCGAACGAGGGGTGATTCGGTTCTCGGTCATCCGAACGCTGGGGGCATTATTTCTCTAGCTGTCTGTCTTGAGGCCTGCTTAACACTGCTTACGCTGTTTGCCTGTTTGCTTGTCTCTACTGCTGCTGCACTAGACGACCCCTGATTTGACTTGGATCTGTATCTTCCTGATTGAGCGTGCAGATTCGCCCCCTTGGTTGATGAGTTACCCATGGCATGAATACTCTCTACCAGTTTACTTCACGTGGATTCCCACGGGCCTTGAAGTTACAATCCTTCATAGGCTCCAGAATACTCGTAGGTTCTCCACGGGAAGCAGCGTCCGTTGCAGACGACGGCCGAACGGGTATGACTGTGCCTTTGACACCCCATCATTGGAGTGCCGAGATGGGCAGCCTTGAGTGGCGAGCAAGTTACCACAAGTGACGCCATTGTGGGCGGCTTCTCTCCTTTTTTATACATTTTGGTTACTAGTAAATCTGGCGACAGGGCGATGTAGCTTTTGGGATCCTTCACCTGAGGTTAGGTACCTCGCTGCACTTACATGGCGGGCCTCGAGATCACAGGAAGGTCGTGGGTCCGAGCCGGCTTTCTCTCCCAACTTTTTTCTTCACATTTTTTCAGAATGGACTGGTGTTCCTCTCTAATCATAATGTTTAATGAACATTGCGTCAAAACATATGACTCCTCGCCAAGTTGCAACTCCATATCGTCCTACGATCACGACGGCTAACATTGTACCTTGCTTTGCATGAAGAATAGTCTCTCATTGCACCGCCACGCCTGGATCAGGATCATCCGACAATCTGTTTCCTCCTGGTAACCTGGAAGGATTCTACCCGTTCGTGCAATGATATTTGGAAACAAAACAGAACAACTCACAATAAAACGGGATGCGCGCACATACACACATGCGCACACGCGCGCGCACATTGAAACGGGCGGCGAACTGGAGACACCAGACCGTGCCACGAAACAAAGGCATGGGAGACACCCGGGAGACTATCTCTCCCACTCACTCTGCACTCGAACTCAGTGCGCGTTTGGAAAAAAGACCATTCTTTTTTGTCATGATCACAACGACCTCCGTGCTTTTCCAGTGGAAACCCCAAAGAACGGCCAGTGGAGGGAGGCCTCATTGAGGCAGGTTGAGCCTGATTGTTTGATTGATTTGACACTTGACAAGTTCGGGGACGCGGAGTTCGAACGGGTCAGGGCCTCGGGGAGTCGGCGCCGCAAGCTGGATGGATATCGTGGGGAACAATGCTGATCTTTCGAGTTGGGTTCACTCACACGTACCGCAATAGGCGGAATGGATATAGCCGTGCTTGTTACTCCCTGCTTGCCTGAGGTGAGCAATTACGAGATAACATCTGGCGTCTGGTACGACTGCAAATGGCTTCGTCCGGTACCACGCAATAGCAGGTCCACGGCTGCGAGGTAGTACACACAACTGCGCTTCTTCGAGCCACAATTGCAAGTTCGAGTTGGAGCGCTAAGGGTCGGGAAGTTTGAGTTAATTGTTACCCACTCCTGAAAACCAACGGCCACAGCATTGCTTCGGCGTTGCTTTTCTTGAGACATCCCACTGCAGTGTGGATACTCTCGTGATATTGAATGTCTTACAACACACTCGTTCAGGAGAACCAGGAGATTGGGTGTGAACAAGGGTTCATTCCACTCTGGCTTTGGGATGGACCCTTAACGGCTGTTGGCTTCCAGACGTTACCTCGAGGGAGGCACGACAGCCAATGAACTGTTCGGCACCCGACGGCCCCCGGAGTTCTTAGTTTTCGACTGCGACGCTGTGCCTCAGCCAGGACCTATGTGGCAAACTCCAATCTTCAGACATGACAGTTCGTTTGAGTCGGGGAGAAGCTTAGACAACCAGCGGGTGATGGGTCTGGAGAGGTCGAATGCAGTACAGACGAACTGAGGACGGCGACAAACATGTTTCCTGTGACGTGGATAGAATGGATCCGAGTCGTGAAAAAAAATACTAAAGCACCAGGCCGTGGCCGCGCGCACAGTCGGCTTCTACCGCTT